GAGAGGAGAGAGAGAGAGGGGGGTGCCGGTGAGGGCAGGGCGGCCGGGGCGGGCAGGGCGGCAGTACAACAGGACGGGAGGCAGAAATGGACACCAGACAAGGGGCGTAGAAAAGACGACCAGAAGGAAAGGGCAAAATAGACACCACATCAATAAAAAAGGACAGCCACAGAGAAGGGGGGAGGGAGACAAGGCGCGCGGGCCGCCGCCGCCGGGGGGGGAGACGAGAGGGGCGAAGACACCATGAGTGGGGGGAGGTGGGGGGGGGGAAGGGGGGACAGGGCAGGGGGGAGGGGCTGAACAGGGGAGGGGGTGTGATGCCAGACCGAAGTGGGGAGGCCGCCACGGATCCGCACGGGAAGACCGGACCGCACAGCGAACCAAAAGCGAGAGAGATAGAGAGATAGAGAGAGATAGAGAGAGGGAATAGGGGCGCAAAGGAACATCCAGCACCAGGCAACGGGCCCAGGGGCAACAGAGGGCGCCAGGGACGGCAAAGGCGCCGGGGGGCGGGCCACACAAGTGACGAGGCGGCGGCGGGGAGAGGAGAAAGAGCAGAGGGAGGGCGGTGGAGGGAAAGCAGCCAGGACAGCAAGGAAGGGGCAAGGCAGCGGAGGGCCGCGGAAGGGGCGGCGCACAGTATACCGCGAGAAGGCCAACGCGCATGGGGAGGGGGGCGAACGAAGACCGTTGCTGAGAGAAAGGAAAGGGGGAGAGAGGCGGAAGAAGAATAAAGAGGGAACGGAGGCGGCAATAAAAAAAAAAAAGGAACGGGAATAGGCCGCGGACAAAGGGAGGACGAACGGATAGGGAGGGGTAGGGAGTGGGAAGAAAAGAATAGAAGAGATGGGATAAGGGGCAGGAAAAAAAAAAGACGAAAAGTCAAGAAAAGGAACCAGCAGGGGAAGAATAACGGCGATCCGACGGGTTGGGGGCAGGGGGCGAAAAAGGCGGGCAAACGGAAGAAAAGCGTGTGGGTTCGGCAAAATCGGGCAAAAGGAAGAAAAGCCGGGAAAGTGTCGACCACGGAGGGTCGAGGCGCAGAAGGGGGAGGACGCAAAAAGGTGTGAATGTGGAACGCTACAGGGGACGGGCAGGGAGGGCTGCACGAGATGAAAGGCTACGGGCACGGGGAAGAAAGTGGACGGGGCACGGGCGAGGGTATAAGATGGGACGAATGAAGACCACCGGGGGGGGGATTGGAAAAAAAACTAGGGGGCGCAGCCGGGAGAGCGGAAACACAGGAACGAGAGACAGGCAGGGCAGGCCGCGAGGAGGGCAGGAAGTCGCATGTCCGAAACGCCAGCGCAGCAAGGGAGGCGGAGGAGGAGCAAAAAGAATAGGGGGACCACAGGGGGAAGGCCGACAACAAGGGCGACGCAGCCCAAACTAGGGGTGGACGACCAAATGGAAGCACGCCGGGCACCTGCGAAAAATGATAAACACGGCGGAGTCGGGAAAAAAGAAGAGCAAAGGAGGTTACGAAAGGCAGGAAAAGGAAGAGCGGGAGTCCAAGGCAGGGCGCAGGTGAATGGGGAAAAGAAAAAAAAGAACAAAGAAGTATACAGGAAAACGAATGGAGAAGGAGCCGAAAGAGGGCAAACGGGGGCAACACCTGCGTGAGGAGCGGGGAGGGTGGGCCGGGACACGCGGGGGGAGGCGGGAGCAGCGACCACTCGGGCCCGCGCGGGAGGGCGGTGCACCAGGCTCGCGCGGGCAGAGGAGCAGAAAAGGGAAGAGGAGAAGCAGAGGGCGAAGAGGGAACAAGGAGGAACGAGAGAGACAGTCAAGGAAGGGAAAGAAGGAAAGACACGAGGGGCAAGGAACAGGACAAGCGAATGGCCCAGGGAAAGAACAGAAATCCGCACAAAGGGGAAAGCAGGAGGGGAGGGGAATGGTAATACGCGGCCTGGGGTTGGCCAGACACAAACGGACAAAAATAAAACCGGAACGCACAGAAGAGGACCAAAAAAAAAAAAAAAAACAGCAAAAGCGAAGGAAGGCCAAACAACACCAAAAGGGAAGAGCGTGATGCGCACACCCGGAGAGCCCAGAAAGGAGGGAGGCTAAAGGGCGGGGGTGGGAGGGGGGAGGCGGAAGAGCCAAAAGATGGGGGGGGGGGGGGGGGCAAAACCAAACAGGGGAGCAAAAAGGGAAGAGCCAAGAATTCGCGATAGGGACGAAGAAGGGAAGCGCGACAAGCAAACGGGACCATACGACAGCTGGCACGCCAGGGGCCCGACAAAGAAGAGCCAAGACGGGGGCGGCCGCCCGACGACACCAGAGACGTCGGGCACGCCATTGGCACGCAAGGACAAGAAGCGCCGGAGCGGCGACAAGAAACTCGCCAGATGACGTCGGTGATGGCAGCGGGCCCACCAAAAGAAAGGAGAGCAGCGGGACGGGCAGGGTGCCCGTCACAGGAGTGGCGGGAAGGCAGGGGCGGAGGCGGCCGGACAGGGGAGGGGGGGAGGCGAGAGGGCAAGACGGAGAGAAGGGGCGAGGGCTAGGTGGGCTCGGGGGGAGAGGCGGGGCCGAGCGGAAAAGCGGAAACGCCAGAGCCAGCAAAACCTAGGCCAGGTAGAGAAAGGGGCGGGAGGTGGGAAGGCGCGGGGAGATGGGGAGGGAGAGCGGGAGATGTAGCAGGGGTGGGGAGGTGGGGGGGAAGGGGAGTGAGGAGGGCGAGCGGGATGGCCGAGGAGGGGGGCAGGCGAGGGGGAAGAGGCTGTGGGAGGGGGGGGCGCGGGGCGGGGTGGGAGGGAAGGGGCCATGGGGGTGGAGGTGCGGGCGGGACGGGGGGGTCGGGAAAGAGAGGGGGCCGGGCGAGAGGGCGGGGCGAACAGGAGAGGCCGAGGGAGCGACGACGCGGAAGGTGGGCGGTGTAGGGCCGGGGAGGACGGAAAGTGCGGGGCCCTGGGGCACACACCCGGGGCCCGCGAATGGGGGGAGCAGGGGGGCGGGGCCGTGGCCGGGACAGCGGACCGGAAGGCGGAAGGGGGAAGGGCCAGAAATGAGGCCGGGGAGGCCCGGGCAGGGGGGGATCTTTGGCTTGGGGCTTAGGGGAAGTTAGGAGGACAGGGGACGGCGGGGGCGGAGTTTAGGGAGCAGGATGTCGAGCGGGAAGCCGAGGCCCGGAGGCAGAGGGCGGGGGGCGACAGGGTGCGGAGGGAGAGAGACACGGCGGGGGGAGATTGGAGGAGGGGCGGCGACAAGGAGAGGGTGGGAATGGGAGAGCTGGGCGCAGGAGGAGTGGGGGAAGATAGCGGAGGCGGCAGGGAGGGGGGTAGAAGCGGAGGCGGCACCGTGGAGGGGAGAGGGGGGACGGAGGGACAGGGGACGGGGGGTACAAGGTGTAAGCGGAGGTCGGGGGAAGAGGGAGGGGAGAGGAAGAGGGAGATGGAGCAGGGGGCGAGGGGTAGAGAGAGGCGGGAGAGAGAGAGAGAGAGAGAGAGAAGAGAGGAGAGAGAGAGGAGAGAGAGAGAGAGAGAGAGAGGACACAGGAACGGGGGGACTGGGGCACGCGTAGGAAGGGAGCCGGGGAGGCCGGGGGGTGAGAGCGGGCAAGCGAAGGGGAGGGGAGGCAGGCCCCAGGGACGGGCGGGAAGGGGAGGGAGGGAGAGAGGCGAAGGAAGGTCCCGGCTAGAAGCCCCGGAGAAGGGAACTGGGGGAGGAAGCGAGCGGGAAAGCCGGCCAGCGGAGGGCGGGGAGGAGAGAGAGAGAGAGAGAGATAGTAGTAAGGAGAGAGAGATAGAGAGAGATAGAGAGATAGAGAGAGAGAGATAGAGAGAGAGAGAGGAGGAGGGAGGAGACCAGCGGCAAAACAAGGGGTCGCGGCGAGGAGAAAAGGAGACGGAGGGAGTCGCGAGTGGGAGAGGGGGTGGGAGGAGCGGGAGGGCGCGAGGGGCGAATAACAAGGGCAGGGGGGGGAGAGGGGGCGGCGCGGGGAGAAGGGGGGAGGGAGGGGGGCGAAGAGAACGAGATGGGCGGGGGGGAGGGCGGGGACCGGCGGAAACGGGGAGGGAGAACCGGGGGAAGCCGGGAGGGGGGGAGAAGAGTGAACCGAAGGGGGGCATGAACACGCAGCAGGGACGGGAAACGGGGGAAGGCGGGGGGATGGGGCGGGGAGGGCGCGCGCGTGGGCGGGCGCGCGCGCTAGAGGAGAGAGAGAGAGAGAGAGGAGAGGAGAGAGAGAAGATAGATATATAGAGAGAGAGAGAGAGAGATAGAGAGAAAGGAGAGAGAGATAGAGAGAGAGATATAGAGATGAGAGAGAGAGATGAGAGAGGGGCAGGGGCGGGGAGGGCAGGGGCCCGGGCGGCCAGTGCGGCAGACACCAGGAGAAGAGGGAGAAATGCACCGCACCAGTGGAAGACACCGGAGAAGGCGGGGGTACGGGGTGGGGGGGGCGAGGGGGGGAACAGGGCAGGGGGGGGAGGGGCGAACCGGGAGGGGGAGGTATGCAGACTAAGGGGGAGGAGCCGCACGGACCGCACTGGAAGACCTGACGCACAGGAACAAATGAGAGAGAGAGAGACGAGAGAAAGATATAGAGAGAGAGAGATGATAGAGAGAGAGGAGAGAGAGAGAGAGAGGGGGAAAATAGGCGCATAAGGAACCATCACGCCAGGAACGGGGCCCAGGGGCACAGGAGGGCGCAGGGATGCAATGGCGCGGGGTGGGGCCACCACAGGTGACCGGCAGGGCGGGCGGCGTGGAGAGGAGAAAGAGCAGTGAGGGTCGGGGTAGGGAAGCACGCAGGCGTACATAAGGAAGGGAAGGCATGTAGGGCCGCGGGTAATGGTTTGGGCGCACGGAGACACAGAGGAGACGGAGAGAGAGAGAGCGGGAGGGAGGGGAGCATGCGACAGAGAAGTAAGAGAGGAGACAGAGAGAGAGAGAGAGAGAGAGAGAGAGAGAGAGAGTAGTGGGGAGGAGGGGAGGCGTGGGGAGGGAGAAGGGGGAGGGGGATAGGGGCCCGGGCCTAAAGGGGTGAACGGCAGAAGGGCGCAAGGGGCGAGGCGGCGCGTCCGAGGGCGGCCGCAGGAGGCCGCGAGAGGCCGAACAAGGGGGAGCAGAGCGGGGAAGGGAGAGGAGGGGCAAAGAGGGCGACGGGACCAAGGGCGAGAGCGAGAAGGGCGACGGGAAAAGGAGCGGGCGAGCGGGAAGGGGCAGAGGGAAGCCGGGCGAACCCAGAACGGGGGGAAGAAAGCGCGAGCGGGGAAGAAGAAGAAACCGGCGACAAGGACAGAGGAAGAGGGGGAAGAGGGGAGGACAAGGCACGGGCAACCAGGCGGGGGGCCGGGCGAAAGAGGGGCGACGGGAGGGAGGAAGGGAGACGACGGCGGCAGAGGGAGGGGCCAAGCGGGAGACGCGGGACAGGGCCAAAACGCGGGCGAACACGCGACGCCGGAAGGAGCGGCGGGACACAAGCCGGAGGACGGAAGGGACGGCGAGGAAAGCGCACGGGGAGGAAGGCAAGGCGAGGGGAGGGGACGGGGAAAAGAGGGAGGGCAGAAGGGAAGAGGAGGAGCGGCGGGGGGAGGGCGGGGCGCGCGCCCGAAAGCAGACAAGCAGGGCAAAGAAAGGAGGCGGGAGGGGAAGAGGAGGGAGACCCGGACGGGCGACAAGGGGAAGGCAAACCGAGGGGCCAAAGAAAAGGGGGACGGGGAAAGGAAGGCGGAGGACAAAGGGGAAGGCGGGACGGGAAGGGGGCGGGCACGGGAAGCAGAGAGGAGCAAGAAAAAGGCGAGAGCCAAGGCCAAAGGACGAAGGCCAACAAAGCCGGGAAGGACGGCAAGAAGCAGGGGCAGGAGGGGACGGAAGGCGGCAAGGGAAAAACAAGCAAGAGAGAGAAAAGAAGGCCGCGGAAGCGAGGGGGGGGAAAGGGAGGCAGAAGGCGAGGGAGGGGAGCGGGGAGCGCCGGGGGCAAACGGAGCGAAACCGAGGGGAGGCGGGACGCGGGGGGGACAGGCCACAGGGGGCCGCACAAAGACGGGGGCGGCGCGCGGGAACCGGGGGAGGGGGAGGGGGCGGGCGGGGGAAGGAGACCCAAGGCAAGGGGAGGGGAAGGGGAAGGGGGCAGAGGAAAACGCAGGAGAACGGGGCAGGACGCGGACCAAGGGGCGGGAGAGGCCGGAGGGGAAACGCAAGCGGAGAGCGGGGGCACCGGGGAAGCGCGGGGGGGCAAGGACAGAGCGGAAGGGGGAGGGCGGAAAGGGCAGAAAAGGCGCGCGGGGCGCAGGAAAGCGGCGCGGGCGGGAAGCGGGGACGGCGGGCAGGGCAGGACGGGGACAGGGGCAGGAGCGGGAGCCGCAGCGAGGGCGGAGGCGGAGCGCACGCAAGGAGGGCAGAGGCGGCGGGGGCAGAGGAGGGAGAAAGGCAGGCAGCGCCGGAGCAAGAAAGGCCGCCGGGGGGGGCAGGGACGGGGAAAGGACAAGGGGGGAGCAGGGGGGGGGGGGAAACAAAAGAGGGGAGGGGCGCGACGGCGACACACCGGACCAAAGAGGGAGGGGAAGAGAGACAGGCGAGGGAGGGGGACCGAACGAAAGGCCAGGCGAGGGGAGGCGGGAGAGAGGGAGGGCGAGGAGGGAGGACGGGGCGCGGAAAGGCGGGGGCGAGGGCCGGAAACAGAAAAAGCAGGCAGGGGCGAGGGGCAAGAAGGGGAAAAGACGGGGGGAGACGCAGACAGGGAAAAAAGGCAAGAAGCGCAGGACAGACAAGGGCGGGGAGGGCGGGGAGGCAGAGGGCAAGGACGGGGGGCGGCAAAGGGAAGCGCCAGGCACAAGACCGGGCCGGGGAAACCCCAGCAGAAGGGGGGGCCGAACGGGGAACAGGACGCGAGGGGAAAGAGCGCGGGGGAGGCGCGCGAAGGCGGGGGGAGGGAAACGGCGGGAGGGGGGGCCGAGGCCGGGGCGACGGCGGGCGAGGGGGGAAAGAGAGCGCCACAGGCAGCCCGGGAGGGCAAAAGGCCAGAGGAAGGGGGGGCAGGGAAGCCGGGGACGACGCGAGCGGAAGAGGGGGGGAGGGCCGGCGGAGGCGCAGGCCAGGACGGGGAAAGGAAACCCGAGAGCGGGCAAAGGCAGGGGCCGGGGGGAGGCCGCGGAGGCAAAAGGGGAGCGGCGAGGGGCGCCGGAGGCGCAGAAAAGCAGGCGGAGGCGAGAGAGCACGGGGGAGGAAAAGGCACGACGGGCGGCGGGAAAAGGGCCCAGGACAGGGGAGACGCAGAGGACGGGGGAGAAGGGGGAGGGGGAGGCAGGCCGAGGGAGAGGAGGACGACCACGGAGGGGAAGACGAAAGAGGAGGCAGCGACGAGCACCGCACCGCGCGGCGAGCCACAACGAGAGGAGGCCAGGGCGAGGGAGCGGCCGAGGAGGACAAGGAAAAAACCGGCGAGGGAGGCGAGGGACGAGGAAACCAACGGGGGGCGGAGGCGCGGGCAGGCGCAGAGGAAGGGGAGGGGGAGCCAGCCGGCGAGGCGGAAGCGCGGCCGAGGGCGAAGGGCAAGCAGGGCGGGAGGAAGGCGCCAAGTGGGAGGGAGCCAAGGGGAGCAGGAGGAAGAGAAAGGGGGTGCGGCAAGGCAAGCGGCGCAAAGGCAGGGAGGACCAGGGCCGCGGCCGGCGCCCACGGAGCATGGGCGCCCAGGAAAGCGCGGAGGAGGGCCGGCAACAGGCTGCGAGGACAGGCCCAGAAGCGCGCAGGTGACGGAGGAGAAAGAGCAGGAGGGATGGGCCGGTGGGGAAGCAGCCGTGACAGCAAGGAAGGGGAAGGCAGCGGAGGGCAGCCGGCTGGGGGCGCACGAAGAGAGAGAGGAGAGGCCGGGGAAGCCGACGGGAGAGAGCAGGAACGAGAGAGTACAGAGAGAGTGAGAGGGGCCCAGGGCAGGATGCAGAGGGCAGGGAGAGAAGGGGCGGCGGGAAGAGGGGGCGGAGGAGGGAACGGCGAGAAGGCGCAAGGGGCGATGCGGGGCGGCCGCAGGAGGCCGCGGCA